ATGTCTGTGTTAAGAAATGCAGATTTAAATGTACATGACAAGATTTCTTATTTAACTTGCAAAGCATGGTGTTAAGTGCAAACTTTATAGAATTTGACCAGGCACCAAATTTAAAACCATAAAGAAATTAAAAACCAGGAAGGCCAGGAAACAAGAATTCTCCCTTTTCAAATGCATGTTTCTACCAGCAAATGGTGTTATGGAGAATTCTCACATCTTTTGCACCTCCATCTTTTGCATTTTTAATGCTGAAAATGCATTGCGTGTGTGGTCTGAATCTCCTGTGATTCCTCACAAATTACATCTGCCTTTTTTCACCTCTTTCTGTCAGTCCTGTGTTATTCAAGCAGAATTCTTGTCAGCTGATCCTCAGTGGTGGTGTTTGGATGCCAGAATTTTAAATTACGTTTGACAGATGAGCAAATGCATGGAAGAATCCATTTCTTCATTTATACCACTGAAGGAATATCTCCACTTCCCTTTTTGATTTTTCTCTAAGAGAAGTAAATAAAGATTCGCATGTTTATCCTTAACAATTCTCATACTTGTTTCAGTAGTATAACCAAAGTCAGCAAACACACAAATTGGTTTAGATGCAGTTCATAAGAAAGCTTTAAGTAGTTTGTTATCTTTCAGTGGTAGAGCTTCATATAGTGAAGAATGAAAATGGAGCAGTGGCAGATTATAGAATAAATGATTGTCCTGGGTTCAGCAGTAGCAGTCATGTTTCTCCTTTGTGGTATCTGGTGCAGTGCTACCACAATTAGAGTATATTTGACAGTGTAATTTGGTGTTATCCTTGTTCACATGTATTTGGATGTAGTTGTAGCTTTTTACGGTGTACAGCTACACAGTAGGATTTTTTCCAGTCTTCTGTATCATCATGTATTTGCCACTGTCAAAGACTAGATAATGTCAACTGTATATCCATCCCTGAAAGTCTATATTTATGTCCCAAGACACTGGTTATTTTAATACTTTGTATTCCTTTCATAACATGCACCTTAGAGATGATGTGATTGTGAGCAGCTGCTTATTAAGATATCCCATACCATTGAGAAGTTAGTTGCAGAGACTGCTTAAACAATCAGCTGTTGTTAGAAGAATAAATTCAGAGACATTGTTAGACCATGTCTTTTCAAAGGTTATAACAGATTGTAAAGAAGTGTCAAAATCCTTTGTGATTTTTATGTGCATTAATAAAAGGAAAAAAGAATGAGTACGTTGGTATCTTCAGCTTGGTTTGATTTCCAGCTCTTCTGGAAGTCTTATTTATGAATCTATTCCAATGTGCTCCTTTGCATTCCCAAACTGCCAGCTGCCTGGTGTAAGGTAAGGCAGTTCAATCTCATCTCATATCCCACCCAGCAGTGTGTGGATGTCTGTTGTCTGAACCTGCTCTCTTTCTTGAACTCTATTCCTTCTAAACTTGCAGGGTTTTTCTGTCAGTTGGCTTTCACTTTGTTAGGTAATTTGACCCCCATATTATATGGAAGTTCTGGCATTGAGAGGACAGAGACTTTTGTCAGTCTTTTTTTTTTTTTTGTAAAGCCAGGCAAGAGACTTCCAGAAGTCAAAGCTAAAACATTTTTTTGTCATTGGGAGTGGTAAAGAAACAGGAGCTAAAAATGGAGCTGTAGGAGATAGGGAAAAAAAGACAGTGGTGAATGAGAGGGAGGATTGAGGCATTAGGTGGGGAAAAAAACACTCAAGTCCCCTTTAGTTATAGTACTGTACAAAATTATTTAGAGCAGAAACATCAAAGAACAGACTCGGAATCCTTCAGCGGCCATGGTGCCCAAATTTGAGTGATTCCTGCCTGAGGAATTAGCTTGTTAGATTAACATTGTATTACAGAACTACTGGTGAATTGCATGTGGATGGATGTATATTTCAAAATCCATCACTTGGTAACAGCATAAAACCACTGTCTTCAAATCCTTCATGTTGGCTTTCCCAGTCAAGTCTGTAATATGTTTAATTCAGAGAAAGTATAATGGAATTTCCTGTGCAGTTCTGTGGATTGCCTCTTGGAATCAGGCTGTAGTGAAAGAATGAAAAAGTTCTGAGAGAACTATTTATCTATTACCAAGAAATTGGCATGGAAATATTTTAGGTCGCTGGTCTGTTTTTAGTAGAAATTATGAAAAATATGGTAGATCTTGCACTTTTTTTTTTTAAATCCCATCAAGTTCTGTGTCTGTGTAATGACAGCAACATGACAGATATTCACAGCACTCCTACGTTCCTCCCACACTGAAATTAATTATACAATTTCTTTCCACCCTCACAACATTTGTTCTTGCTTTTTCTTAGCTAGCTGCAGATGCAAAAATCTGTGCCAGAATACGTCTAAATCTGGTTGGTCATGTTCTAAGAATGTTCTAAGTCTTGGAGGTGTACAAAAATGGATTCTCTTGTATCAAAGTCTGCCACAGTTGAGGCTGTTAGTTTTAACATAGTTACTGAGAAGCAGCCCCAGCTACTGTTGTGCTTAGTGACAAATGTGATTATATAGGTTGCTAGACACAGTACTCCAGGGTATGGTTTGCTTTCTGGGCTGTGAGTGCACATTGTCAGGTCATGCCCAGTTTTCCATCAACCAGAAAGTAAGGATGCACCAGATAGGTCAGATACATGTTTCCAAGTCCTAAATTATAAAAAATGAAGCTGTTCCCTTGACTTATAAGAATGGATGAAAAATTTAATATAATTTTTATGTTTCATTTGATTGTGGTCTTTTAAGTTTTTGACACATTTGCAACACTCAGTTTCTTTTGAAGCCTTTGGAAAAAAAATGTCTTTTTGTAAATGGCAGCTGTGAGTCTCAGGCAGACTTTATTTCTGTCAGAAGCTGGGATTTAAGTCCCACCTCGCTACCCCCTGCCCCCAACCAGTAACAACAACAAAACATGAACAGAAAATATCTATTCCTCCAGAAAACCAAACCCAGCCGTTACCAGCCATGTTACTGAAACGAACTATTGAGTGTAATTTCAAAGTACCTTGCAACACGGTCAGCTAAGCTAAAATGTTCTTAAAGATGAGAATGGAGACATTCTAATGTATTCTTTGAGGTGTCTGGCATTATTTACTGTGTTTTCTGGGGTTTTTTTGTTTTTGTTTTTTTTTTTTTCCCCCGGGAATTTATTCTTTCCTCAAAAGAGAAATGTTACTTTCTTTTACCTGCTCCCTACCTGCTCTCTTCCCTTTTCCACCTCAATAGTCATACATTGAAGAATTTTATGTAAAAGTGAAAGTTGTTTCTGGTTTTCTTTTTCCTTTTCTTTTTAGTACAATTAAACAAGGATTTCATCCATATTTATGCTTTAATGTTTGTGAAGAAAATGAGTATTTTTTTGTATAAATGAAACTTGCAATTTATTTAGTAAAATCTGAATTATTTTTAATTTGGTAATTTCAAGCATCTATTCTCCAATTCCAGTGTTAAAAAACTACAAAAGAGTAGAGAATGCAGTAAGTTTGTATTCTCTAATGCAAGATGTCATTTGGTTTGGAATCACTGCAAAGCTACTGTGTGGGCTCGTTAAGATAATCTACAATGTCCCTATGACTTCATATAATGAAAAAGCATTTACAAAGAAAATGGGTTTGATTTTGTTTACTTTGCAGCATCTGTCCTGCTTTATCATTGTCTTCTGATGTCTTTGTTAATTCACTTGTTCATGATAATAATTTAATACAAGTTCTGTATTATTTGAAAATTTGATTTGGATTTATGCACTAAGTTTCTGTGCTAAAACTGTCAGTCATAAACACTCATATTAGTAGATTTAAAGTTGCAAAGTTGCTACGTGTAGAGTAGTTATAAGTTTATTGGGACCTTTAATGTTAATGAATATAAATAAGTTAATATAATTCTTACTAATATTAATATAATTTTAAGTTAATATGAATAATTAAAAAGATGAGATTAAGAAAATGTTTACTATTAAATAAAAGCACAGCTGTGAAAGGGTAGCTGACGTTTGTATAGTCTTAAGTGACTGTGTGTCTAATAACATGCAAATAATAAGAGAAATAAGATCTGGACATTTATTAAAACACTGCTACTTAATGTCAGAACAGATTTAAAGTGTATCTGTACAGAATTCCACCACTAGCGATATTTTTTCCATTTGAAAAACTGTTAGAAGACGTAATTTCTAAGGGTTATTTTCTTAAGGTTTTGCATTTTTCATTTAGTTTATATTATTACAGGCAGACAACTTTAGATGTAATTGAGCTAAACATGAGCGTAGTATGAAGTGAAATGGTGTTCTGTTGTTTAGGCCTCCCCCCTTTCTGTTTTTAGACTGTAGAGTTGCACAATATCCATTAAATCGAAAAAGTATGGTGCCATGCACTTAAGTCCCCTGCTTCCTGCAGTTATATGTCTTCTGGTACAGAGTGTGTGACTATCCAGGAATTCATTTTTCTATAAATGTAGTATCCTGTGTAGGCAGTGAATAGAGAGAGGAAAAAAAAGAAAAATAAATTGTCAGATAAGAAAATAATGGGAATTGAACATCATAAGCTACAGTAATTTAGGATAATTATGTTCCAATCTTAACATGGGTAAAATCCTTTTGATTTTGATTTATGTTGAACAGAGAGTGCAAGAATTAACCTCTGAACAGAGTAAGACCCCTTTACTTAGGTGTGGTACAAACCTCTTAGGACAAGATAATTGTGTTTTGGAAAACCATCAAGTATAAAGAACAGCAAGATAAAACAAATTCTGATTCACTGTGGGGTTGATTATTTCAGATGTTTTTCTTTGTCACATTTATTGAGTGAAGTCTGTGTATAACTTAGTTTTATCTGTTTTAGTATTGTGAAGTTGTTGGTGCCTTTGTGTATAACTCAATATTTTTTTTTTTTTTCCGTTGAAGGTATGTTTTGTTGAATTCAGTTCTTTCTGTTGAATCTCCTTTGCTTGCTTCTGACCTTTATTTCTGTTGATTTTTGCTTCATTTTTCATTCACCATGCTGTTCAGTTTTTGGATGCCAGGAGAACAAAGGTTTGTTGACTATTTGCAGTCACTTTATTTTTCAAAAATCAGTATTGCTTAATGTATTTTTTTGTTTGCTTGTTGGCGATACAGTAATCCTGTTTACTAAACATGTTCATAGCTTTAGTTGCTAAAACTAAAAGCCAAAACCAACCAGCCCCAACTGAGCTCCTCCCCAAAGCCCCTTTAATTATAGTGAGTGCTTTGATTGACTTCATAAACAACAGTACTGTTGAGCACCTTGAAGGGCTGAATTACGTTTAAGTCTATGAAGTAGTTCAGAAGACATAGAATACTGAGTCTTTTAGCTTTTCAGGTACATGCCGACATATGGATCTGTCACAGCCTAGTGTTTGGGTTTGTTGGTTTGCATTTATTTGCTATTTATTTTATCTGTAGCTGCCATTATTTTGTGTGTGTGTGTTTTGTTTTTTCTAGAAGCACTTGAAAAATATCATTCTAAATAGTCACATGCATTTGCTATTTTATGAGGTCATTTGATACACTTTTGTCATTGATTCTAATGAATTTTTGCAACAGCATACACGTTTAGTCAAAGAATTACTCCTACATTGAGATCCTAAACTGATTTTTTTCCCCTTTCTTTTCTTAATTGCAGCATCTGCAAATGACAATCCAGGCACTTCAAGATGAGCTTAGAACCCAGAGAGACCTTAACCATCTTCTCCAGCAGGAAAGTGGAAACCGGGGAGCTGAGCATTTTACCATTGAACTCACAGAGGAGAATTTTCGAAGACTTCAAGCAGAACATGATAGACAAGCTAAAGAGCTATTCCTGTTGAGAAAAACACTAGAAGAAATGGAGCTTAGGATTGAAACACAAAAGCAAACACTAAATGCCAGAGATGAGTCAATAAAGAAGCTTCTGGAAATGCTGCAAAGTAAAGGTTTGCCGTCTAAAGGAATGGAAGACGACAACGAGAGAACTCGAAGGATGGCAGAGGCTGAATCTCAGGTTAATCATTTAGAAGTTATTTTAGATCAGAAGGAAAAAGAAAACATGCATCTTAGAGAGGTAAGGAAAAAGTCATTTATTTGTTTAAAAGATATTGTCAAAGTACTTGCTGCAGTTTTTGAAGTATGCGTTAGAGTGTCTAAGTGTTTTTTCTGTTTCTGCTCTCTTTTTCGTAAAATTCTAAATACGCAACAAGACTGTATGACATGAAAGCAAGTACAAGAAATTATGGAAGAGAAGTAATTGTGGTTGGGGCTTATATCTGACAATGTTACTTTGTTAGTTTCAGTATTATTTATATTTTTTCAAATCAGTGTTTGGCAAATGAAGAACAGAACTACTGAAGAGGAAAGTGTCACCTTCTATAAACTAAATAGTCATGAGTGCATGCTACTATGTGTTTGATCTTATACCACTTGTGTTTGAGTCTTTTTAAAGTGCTTTACTTTCCATATAAAAAGGCTTCTGCCTATGTGTATTTCTAAGGTGTTGGTGGTATCGCAACTTCTTAGGTAAGTATACCACACAGTGTTGCCTCATGAAAACACTGGGGTGATGGCTGTGCTCTTCTTTGAGAGGTCCTGAATTTAATCCCAAACTCACCTGCACCAGCTGCTGGCATCAATTGTGAATGCATTTTTGGGACTGGATCTGGGATGATTGAATTAACGTAACTGAAAGAATATGGCCTGTTGTCAAGCCTCTCTGCCCCTCTACATCCCAGCAGCCATCAGCATTGTCATGTGACTGTTGTCAGACAAACAAGACAGTGTGAATCTTCTTCAGAAAGACCTTGGTTGCTTCTGCTAAGGAGGGTAAAAATTGCAGGGAGATCATGTGCATGCTACTTGAAAGGAAGTCAAGATAGATGGGTCTGTTCCTTAGAAACTCAGCAACAGTGTGGTCTGATGGAACTTTCAGTCTAGTAAAAACACCAATTTGCCTGACAGATCAAAGCATGAATATAGTTAGTACTAGAGCATAGAAAACCTTTACTTGTTTCTGTATAACTCTAAACATAGGAATGCTAGACATTAAGAACAGCTAGTTAGATCCACAGAGTATTGTCAAAATATTTTCTTTGCTATGAACAAATTCTCTTGTATTTAGTTTATCACTGCTTTTAAAGTTTTCCTGTGAAGAGCTGGATCCTGAATCTTTTCACAGGCAGAATTTTAATTAGAAAGTGATGCCACCCGTTAACAAAGCCTGAAAGTCAGTGGATCCTGAAAGTAGTTGCAGAAGGAATTAATGATACTGTGTTTGCGATGAGGGAGGATAGAGGGAGAAGTTCTGTAACTTAGCAGACAAGTTTCTGGATTTAGAGCTGCTGTTCTCAGAGTAGTATGTGCAGTCTGTTTCAAGGATGAATGTTTTGCTAGTTATTTGCTTTGTTATGTGATTGTTTGCATTTCACCTGTTGCACCAGTATCACTTATTTCTGAATCCCAATATAACTATGTATTGGGCATGCATAAATTTACAATGAAAATTTGAAGCAGGGTTCTAATTAGCACATTAGTCAAGAGTAATGAAAGAAATAGAACTAAAGAGAGCTTGAAAAGTAGATAAAATGTTAGCATCCAAGACAAGTCCCTGGACACCCAAAGTATTGATTAGTCCAAGAAATGCTGAAAGGAGATCATATTGCTACTTGCAGACAGTGCATGTTTCTCCTGTATTTATACTGAATTAGTTTTATGTTTTAGAGTTCCCCCTGGGTTACCCTAAGGGGCCAGGAAATAAATTTTCTCCCTCAGTTTACATGAGGACATAGAGGTTGTCTTTTGTCTGAAGGTACTGCAAGTATAGAATGGGTTTTACTGCTTGTGACTTGCTGATATGCCTTGGTAACTGGTCAAGGGTTAAAAATTCACTTTTAACTATCTGAAATCTGACCATGTCAGATTGGCAGGAACTGTCTGCTGATTTGGAGATTTTGGCTAGCAATTTCCTCTCTATTTTAAGAATTCAAGACTTTGGGTGAAGCCTGTCTCCAGCTCTCTTCCTGTTGCACATGGTATTTATGGATTTTGATTATTTTCCTGCACATTTGAAGTTTTTTATAGGGAGCTTGGACGTATGACCTGTACGGTGTACGACCGCTTTGGAAAGTAAATTTTTAGTAGATGCCTGGAAAAGCAAGATTCCTGCTTGTTTTTCCAGTAATCTGGATTCGATTGTTCCAAGTGGATTCTTGGAAAATGATCTGAGGTTCAAATTTTGTCTTTTGCTGTCTTGTTAAGGGAAGTTGCCTGCATGCTATCAGTTATTCTGTACAGTTTTATCTATTTGTGAAAAGTCCAAATGGATCAATTTTTCATCTCCATGAGTAGCTTGATAAGCCCTTAATATTCTGCAGTAGTCGTTTGAATTGCTGTCACTACATGTAGTCTTCATTCTGAACAATACAGTTTTCCAGCATGAGCGGGAGTTCCTGTGTTGAATCTTCTGCACTAGTCTCCTTGGTGGATTGAGAATTTCTGTTTTTTAGCTAGTGTCTTTAAGTTTTCATTCAAACTGTGTAAATGACATCGCAGAATTCCTGGATTTTTTTTTTTTTTCTTCCCTGAAAATGCTTTAAAAGTAAACTGGAACTTGGATACATTTTTAATTAATTGCATTCATGAATTATTTCTTATTCACTCAAACTGTGTTAATGTTTCTATATCTTTAACAAAATATTTGTCATTTTAGAACTTTATCTAAAATATTCTGCTTTCTGTATTTTGCAGGTTGGAGTATAGAGCTGATGTGTTGAGTATATTTCTGAGAAACTGGTACATTGTCATGCATAAACATATTTCAAATCCTGAACACTTGCGTCTGTTTTTTTGTTAGTTTTGCTATTTGATTTTCTGCCGCTGCACTTGAAACAAGTTGAGGAAGATAAACTTCTTTATAGCAGCAAGTGAAGTTATTCAGGAACTGAGTTTTCTATTGTGTCAGTTTACCATTGAAATGATAGATTCTGCTGTAGTCTCCATTGGAAAGAATGCTGTCTATGGAAAAAAGCTGAAAATGGTGGAAATGAGGTTGAATGTGGAAAAAATAACTGAAGACTACTGATTTTCTACAGCCTCAACGCTACATTAAAAAGCCTACATAGAATGACATCTTGTAAGCTATGTTGTTAATATTTAGTTTAAAGATGCTTTCAATCTGAAGTTTTGCAGTTCTTGAAACCTGGTTGTGTACCAGCTTCTTAGCTTTTAAATCCTAGCTGGAGAAAGGCCAAATCTTACGTATTTTGCTGAGCTTGTGAACATGTTTTCCCCTAATGCAACCGTATCTTCCTCCCTTATGCTCTTAATTCCTTAGTTCTTTAAAATAGTGCCAAAGCTGGAATCTGTCTTCTCTCTTGTTCATTCAGTCTTTCAGAGCTCTCAGCGCACTGGAATAGAAAGCTAATGGATGAGAAGCAGAAGAAATTAATTTTGGTATTAGTAATCACTGGTGGGTGGAATTTTGACCAAAGCAGAGAATTAAACTAATATGTTTTCTGAGAAACTAAAGCAACTGGTTGGGAAATGCTGGGAATTAAGGGCACTTTCTTCTACACTCTTAGGTCTCCAGTCACTGTCAATTTTATCTCCTTGACCTCCCCGCCCCACTGCAAGCACTGGTGATACTAGGAATTGGATAGTAAGGGATACATTTTTTGCAGTTCCAGAGCTGCTTTTGTCTATTAGTTTTTTCGAAGTTTATTTAAATAGTTAGAATTAACTTTTGTTACTGTCCTTCAGTCTCTACCCCTTTGTCAAATATGAAATGCTTCTCATAATCGTCTTCTGCCTATTTCATATAAGTATGCATGTTACCAGAAACCATTATCCTACTGTTCTGATTCAAAATAATTTGCTGAATATCCAAGAGTCATGTAAAAATTCCTCTTTCTCAAGCCATTGATAGTTTCTTCCCCTGTCCCGCCTGTGAATAGCTGGAACATAATTTCATAATATAGCTGCCTTCAAAGACCTGGACTTTCTCCAGGCCTTAGGTTATATTTCTTAGGGAAGGTACAGGGAAGGGACATACAAATGACTAGTGTACCAGGGGCACAGGAATAACTCTGGAAAATAAAACCACCATATTTTTAATTTGGTTTCATATATTTAGCAGAATTGGACTGACTTTGGTATGTTAACTGCCTGGCCCTCAAAGACTGTATCTTTCTGCAGCGTACGGTCTTCTGTATCTTTAAACTTTGTTTCACAGAGGCAAACTTGTCATGATTGGTTTACCCAAGTTTTGTGTTTGAAGGTCTTAGGAATGGCAAATTTGAGGCTTATTATACAAGAGGAAGAGGACGCTTCAGCTGAAGTAGGAGTCTTGCTCTTTTACAGGAATAGCAAAGAATGTCAGTGTCGATAAGGTTCATTAAAATGTTGGGAAATAAGCTATGCAAAAAATGGTATTAGATTTCTTTCCATGTATTAAGGAATTTAAGATCTAGGCAATAAGCTTTCACAAGAATAGCTAGATTGCCAGATTTGCAATAGTTATAACAAAAGTTTCTTTAGTTGCTGATTCACAAAGCAAAAAAGAACAAATAAAACTCTGAATAGCAAAAGGTGCAAGCATGTGGTTTTGCTTCAGTGTTGGAGATACAGCCTACTGAAGAGAGAATGTTGATGCTTTTCCATGATTTCTGAGAACTTCAGCCCAGTTTGTGCTCAGTTTTCCATCACTAAGTTAGTCTGAATCCTTTCTCTGCAACTAACTTAACTCAAATATTTTTGCTAATGTTTTTCAAAGATAACTGAATTTTACTGATGTTTTCTGGGACAAAATGATACAGCATTTGCTTTGGAAAGGAAATAATGTACTCTATATGGAACAAAGTGGTCTTTGCAAATACACATGGGAAAAAGGGTGGTCTTTGCAAATACACGTGAGGAAAAGGGCACTCTTGGGTTGGGTAGTCTCCCTGTAAGTTTGTTAATGGCTCAAAACCTGTCTTGAAGCCGTAATGTCATACCATGGCATTCTTCATGTTCAGAATTAAATATCATGAAAATTACTAAATATATATTCCTGTCAGAAAACATGAGATGCCT